TCAGTTATTCCGGTTAGCTGAAAGAAATAAGAATGCATACGAGATTAGAATGCATACCATAACCATGGTATGTTCATTTATATACGAATAATCTGATTATTTCATTTCGTTTTAGTTTCTTTAGGAACAAAACATGAAAAATGCATATGCTGCAATTGCACAATAGAGTTAGATGAATTGCACATTAATGACTAACAGATTGCACAAATAGCGACCGGACCCGAATTGAAAATTTCAATTTGTAATTATAAATTTCGGTTCGATTATCTTTTTTTTTTACTTTTAAATCTCTGTTATTGTAGTTTGATATCGACATTATTTTTTATCATAATCGAAATAACTGAACCGACTGAACTATATAAAAAAATTGTTATTATTTTTTATTTATATATATTTTTTTGTATCACGTGTGCACATTATGGTTATACAAATTACACTTTAATGACTAATATATTTCACAATAACGATGTGAAACTTTTTATTATTATTATTATTATTATTATTATTATTATTATTATTATTATTATTATTATTATTGTTATTATTATTTAGAGAGATAGAGTAATGAATGTATGTGTGACAGATGGGGTGGGGGGGGGTTCAGACGTGTGTGTGTGGGATTGGATGGGTTGGTGAGTGTGGGACCCACTTATGAGAAAAATGTCTACAATACCCTTAATGAATGTAAAAATATTTTTTTTAGCCATTAGATCATCCAATCTAATGGCTACGATGTATTCTTATTCTTGACTACCTTTCTCACTTGAACCTATATATATAGGGCTGGATACCAGAATACCAATACCGAACTGAACATTATCGGTTTTATACTTTGCGAACCGAAACAGAACCGATAAACATTCGGTAACCGAAAAATCGGTTACCTATAAAACAGTTCGGTTTCGGTTTAACCGATAAAAAACCGATACTATTAACACTTAACAGAGCAGCCATGCTTTTTCCTTTTCTGTTGGGTAATTTGAATTAAAGTAACAGCAGCCAATCCATTATCCATGGATTAAGTAATAAAAGTAATAGTTAAGCTAGTGTGTACACAAATAAACAGCAGCCAATCCATGGATTTACCACCACAAATTTGTACAGCTATTAACCAAGTGTGGTGATTTACTAACCAATTGCTTAGCTGCAGCGTCCAGAAACTCATGTAGGCGAGGATTCAATTGCACTGGACAAACCTAGTCATAACATAATAATTCCTGAAAAATCTGACTGCATTCAAGTTTAACAAGTAGAAATAGTTGAAGCAAATATCAGGAAAAAGAGATCACTAATTTTAGTTTTCAAATATCAGGAAGCCGTGAAGGTGAAGTAGGCCATCTGATGTGAAGGTGAGGACCGTGAGGTGGTGAACCGTGAACGACTAATGAACGGCAGATTGATGAGCGAAACAATATTATGAGATGAACAAAGGAGGCGATTGACAACTCTGAAGTGAGATGAACTTATGAACGAAAGAGGCGGAAATTTGAACGGGTCTGGTCGACTGGTCCAGCCCTAGAAATTCTGTGTGTTCCTCTTTTAATAATCTTATGATTATCCGTCCTTTTTGAGCTTTTTCTTAGATTAATAATTAATTAAGACCAAATTATGTTATTTAACTAATATAATACCTATTCAAAACTCAAAAGCAGTATTTTAATTTTATTTTTTTTTATATATTGTTATCGGTTTGGTTCGGTAAAACCGAACCCTTATGGGTCGAAACCGATAACAATTCGGTAACCGAAAATCGGTTACCGTTACACATGGTTCAGTTCGGTTCGGTTTTCGGTTTTCGGTCAAAAAATACCAGCCTTATATATTTATATATATATATATATATAGAGAGAGAGAGAGAGAAGGGATCATATGAGAAAGAGGGATAGTGAAAGAAATAAGAATAACTTTAGACCATTAGATCCATCACTTCAATGGTCATGATCAAGTCAAACTTTCATAAATAATGGTCAATCATTAATGGCAATATGGTAATTACTTAAACTATTGTGGTAAAATAGATGCATTTGACCAATAATTAAGGGCATATTAGTCCTTATAATATTTTCCATCTCATCCAATGGGACCCACCCCAACCACCAACCTTATTATCTCTCACACACAAATCACACACTCAACTCAACACACACATACACACACTCGGCTCACACATAAACACACACTAAATTTAGACGCCGCGTAGACACCACCTCTCTCCACCTGCTGCCACCCACCGACGACCGCCAAAGCTGACGATCACCGTGCCGGCGTAGATCTGGCCTTCTCCAGACACCATCCATGTCTTTCTCCGCTATCGCCGGAATCCACCCAGTTAGTATTCTCTAGCCGGAGTCAGCCAAGCCACCACCGTCACCGATCCCGTCTCCACACAGACACCACGATGCGATGGTGTACACCTGGAGATCTGCACTTGGTCGAAGCGGTGCTGGCAGAGCTCGATGACGATGGCCATTTGGTTGACAACATCGAGGTCGACGGAGGAGATGACAATGGATTCGGGAGTGAACGCCATCAGCTCCGACGCGGCGGCGGGTAAACCAGCTCAGGTACAGTGGTGACGCCGGCTGCGACGCCGACGACGGTGCCGTGAAATTTTGATAGTGAATTTGCAGATGGGTGACGGGAAGGTTGTGTTGATTTGGGGGGTTGTGTTGAAAACTAGATGACTTTTAGGGGCATATTTGCAATTTCAGTATTTTTATTATATTACAATTTATGTTATGGGTAAAAATTGTAATTAACAATCTATAATTAGTATTTTAATATTTGCTTTATTTTATGTTGGTTGGATCTCGTTCAATTTCGTGCAATTTGGTAGACATTTATGTGCAATACGTATAACCATAATGTGCAACCGCAACACATAAAAAATATAGATAAAAAATTGTATTAAAATATATATATAAAAAAACACCGGTAATATTTTTCATATAGTTCGTCATATTCGGTTATTCTGTTTATTTAATAAAAACTAAAACCGACATTTAACCAACTAATATTATTCGATCGATTATCAAAATTACTATTTTCTTTTGTACGGCAGCGTGTTATTCTATAAGGTGCAACAGATACGTTGAAATGTGCAACATATCGTGTATAAAGTGCAATGTATTGTTGTATAAAGTGCACGGTTTATTCGATCATTAACCAAATTAACATAATTATCCAAAATAATTTATTATACACATTATATAAATAGATTTACTAATTTAATAATTTTTTTATAAATTATTTCATAAAGTGCAATGTATTCATGCGATCTTATAGTCGTGATAAAAAAAAATGAGTTCGTTTGGTTTCATTCTATATTCATGCGATCTTATAGTCGTGATAAAGTGCAGGGTTTTATTTTATAAAGTGCAACGTGTTGGCTTATAAAGTGCAACGTGTTGATGTATAAAGTGCAACATATTATTTAGTATTTTTATATTGTTACTATAAAATTAATTTTAGTATTTTATTATTTTTGTATATTTTTTTAATAATAACAATATAATATAATATGTATAATACAAGTATAAAAATTATTAAAGAAATTATATATTTTTTTTTGTAAATTATAGATTTAGACCATGGGCTAAATTGAAATATAACAAAAAATCTATATAAATTATAAATTTGGCCCATGGGCTAAATTGAAATATCTTAAAACTATTAAAGTTGCATCTAAGACCCTGTGCAATATCTAATCATATTGTGTAATCTAAATCGATCAAACTTTTATCTTAAACTAAATTATCATATATGTGCAACTCGCCTAATCATATTGTTCACGACTTTAATCGATATTGTGTAATCTAAATCGATCAAACTTTTATCTTAAACTAAATTAACACTGCATTGAATTTATTTGCTTATTTGGTTGGTTAACTACATTAACGAAAATAAATGAAATAAAATATTATTTATATTATAAAAATACATTTTTCGTTTGAAAAAATATTTAAAGGTGTATTTTACCTTAGTTTTTATTTGTAAATAGATAATATATGAAATATCAAAATTAAATATATTTAATATGTTATTATTTTTATATATTATTTTTTTATATTATTTTTTGTTAAATAAAATTAAGGTTCGGTCGGTTTGAATCTATACTGTGCAAACTGATAATCGTGTTAAAGTGCAATGTATTGTTTTGTAAAGTGCAATGTATTGTTTTATAAAGTGCAACGTGTTAGTGTATAAGTCGACCTACTGTAATCTTGGTACACACCATACCTGTGTTTTGCGCAAATAAATGACGTGATTGATGTTAGAGTATTATGTATATTCGTTTTTAAAAGTAACAGTAGATAATCGACCAAAACGTAAAATTGGAACACAAGGATTTAGTTCAAATATCTTTTGGTCGCTAAAGTGCGCTCTGACGGTCGCTATAGTGCAGTCCATTCAATACTAATGTGCAAACCAAGTGCATTTATAAAACAATGAAATATATTTGAAATTATACTTATTTATTTATTATATAATATTATTTATTTTATAACAATATATCTTATAATAGTTATTATTACATTATTTATCTAAATAATAAAATTGAAATAATTATTATGTATATTATATAAATTGTGTGTGTATAAAAATATATAAGAATAATAGTTTTTATAATGTTTTTATTAATTACATATTTGACACAGGAACTAAATTGACATTTCATAAAAATATACCAAACACACAATACAAGATTCCTATATTACAGATTATGCCAATCAATATTTTCGATTTTGCAATCAAGTACCTGGTGAATATCAAATTCTCAAAAAACGTCATTGCACAGCCTGCATCTATGTCTTGTTAAAACTCCAGTCATCTTCGGTGGTCTCTCTGCTCGCCGACGACGCATCCCGTCGGCAGCGACAAACCTAAAATCCGGTAGTCATCACGCTTGATTTTCAATGGAATCCGGTCGAACTCGCCGCCCATATTCAGAAATTCACGTCGGACTTACATCGCGGGACGGAGAAAACGATGCACTGTAGATGTTGTCGACCTTGTTTTCCGATTTCGGCCAGAGGCGGCCGGCGTCGAGCTCGACGGCGGAGGAGGCTGTGTTGGCGGAGGCGAGTGCTGCGGGTAACCACGGCTGTCGGCGAGCGGCAGACGACGTAGCTGTAGGCCTCCGCGATGGAAATCCATCGGATAGGATTCGCTTGACTGGAGGCTGTCGGAGAATCTGGAAGCGACAACGAGATGAAACGGCGTCATACCGGAGCTCACCACTTCCAGCGGCGGGGCGGCATACAACGGACGTGTGGTTGCGGACGTCAGTCAGGTGCAATTTCGACGGCGAGGTTAGCAGTGGTGTTAGCCGTGCGTGTGTGTGAATATTGTGTGTGTGCNATTTCATAGTTTTATTTGTAGAATTCGATTAAGGAGAATGACACACTTGGATTAAATATTTTATACAGTTCTATAATTGGCATATAGTTAACTAATAACTTTACCATATATGTTAATATAAATGGAAAAATGATTGTCTAGATATTTAGATTTCTCATTAAATATGAATCATTTGAACTACATAGCAAATAGTATAAGAGTATAAGAATATATATATATATATACTAGTACAGAGCCCGTGCGATGCACGAGGTCCACAATTTTAAGGCTATTTATCCAGGCTTATAATTATATACATGAATAAAGAAAAATGTACGGGATATATATAGTACGTGACCCCAATTTTAAGGCTATTTATCCAGACTTATAATTATATACATGAATAAAGAAAAATGTACGGGATATATATAGTACGTGACCCATGCAAAGCACGGGATATATTTATTTGGAGAATATTATATTATAAGATGCAATATTCAATAAAAGCTTATAATACACAAGAAAATTGTACAATGTTCAATAAAAGTTTTATAATATTCAAGTGGAGTCTTAAAGTCTCTTGTACATTAAGACTACTGACAAAATAATATTTTAATCAATGAGTTTCATTTCCTTGTAGCCAAATTGTGAATGTGATTTGAAGAGTACAACAAATCGATATATAGCTGATTTGAGGAGTACAACAAATTTTTTTTTTCTTTTTTCTTTTTAATATGAGCATGTTAGGGCTAGCTTGTAAAATAATTAATATATTATCTCACTAAAACATTTATACTAATAAAAATTTAATTTTAGCATATAAATTTATCCCTTGATATAAGAGAAAGTAACAGTTTTACTTATTTTTGTTCACCATATAATATTTAATTATTATTTTATTATATAATAAAAAAAAAATATTGTTAAATAGTGTAGTAGAATTGTTATACAATTATATGATTTTTTTTACAATATGGATTTAATAGTTTTTTTATGATTTGATAATATAAACAAATCTATACTTAACTTTGACAATTAAAACAAATAAATACTTTAATAAGTATTTAATGTATATACTAAATAGGAATATATTTGGTATAATCAAATACCAAATATAATCAAATAAGTCAAAGTGTACATTTTTATTTGGTATTTGATTTTTTTATTATTAAAATCTTTTTATTATACTTATCTTTTTAAAATAAAATAAATAAATAAATAAATTAAATAAATAAAATATTATAATACCAAAATAGTAATGACATTTAATGCAGTTGACTTTTCTGGATAGTAAATATAGTAAATAGAATCTCCTTTTATATAAGTATAGATTGTATAATACGGAAATAGTAATGCAATAAATGTTGTTGACTTTTCTTTATACTAAATCTGGTAAATGGTATACCTTTTAATATAAGTATATATATATATATATGTATATATACACACACACACACACACTCACACTAGTACAACGCCTGTGTACAACACGGGTGATTCATACAAAATTAATTGTCAAACAATATGGCTAATTGTCAATTTTTTTTTATATATGATATATCAAATTATTTATCTTTTAAAATTGTTTCGAATTCTGTAAAATATTTTTATGAAGTATTATTTATTTTATTTAATATATATTTATTTTTGTCAAAATTAAAGAGATAAATTAATCTATTCTACAATTAATAACGCCCGTGAATATCACGTGGGCTTGAAAGTTAAATATTGTATCAAAATAAAGAAGTGAAGAAATATATATATTCTTATAGTAGAATGATAATAAATTAAATCTATCTATCTATATATATATATATATATATAATTTTTGTCATAGCATTTAATAAAACATCTATAGTTTTCTCACCAAAAACCGTTACATTTAATAAAACATCTATAGTTTTCTCACCAAAAACCATAACAAAATATTAATAAAACTATTTGATGTTTCCCCCTTTTT